TAGCAAATCAGTAATGGAGTGGAGAGAAGAAAAGAAGATGGAAAAAGAAGAAAAAATGGTGGAAAGATTTATTTATTAAACAAATTTCAATAAATTTGGCTAACCTGGCTATATAGGTGGATTCTGGGTGGCTTACAACATTTAAAAAGCCACTGCCTAATAAAAAAACCTATCAAAAACCCACCCTATCACCAATGGCAGCAACAACACAATCAAATCAGCCCCTTGATTGGCTCTATCTCCACTGATTTTTGGGTGCAAAAATCCCGGAAGTCCCACTCCCGGTTGGTATGGAGTCCCCTTTACAACAAGGTATGTTTTCCTCTGTGGTGGCTCTTCCGGGAAAAAACACTAGGGCGGTCTACTGTTAGGCATTAGCTACCTTGACCATTGTATAGGACGGAAGAGTAGGACCACCGGGCCAACCTATATTATCCTCTCTCCGGCACCTTCGAATAGTGTGTCCCTAAACCATGTGGGGCTTTAAAGATGATAACCTGTACCTTGAATTGTACCTGGAAGCAGACTGACAGCCAGTGCATCTCCTGTAAAAGAGGTGACGTATGTGCAAATCTAAACTTGCACAAAGGTACTCAGGCTGCTTCATAAAATCCCCATTTGCACAAGGATTGAACCTCAGTGCTTATCTCTAAAACCAGTGTTTGTTGGGGGAGCATGGATGGGCACCAGAGGGAAAGGAATCAAGCAAGCCTTACTTCATTTGGTAGGCATGGGGTGGGTTTCACCCTGCCCTCACAAAGCTACTTAAGAACACCATAGCATCTTGTGCAAAGCAATTCATTAAATGGCTTTAACATCTTCAGGATAGGATCCCATTGTCTAGCTAGATTGTAATGAAGATTTTAAGAGGCAGACATTCAGAAGTAGGTGGATCCTTTAAATTGCACCCAATGGATTTCATATAATGCGCCCCACAACATTAATAACTTGTGAAAATAGTATAGCAGAAATGCCCATTTCCTCAACTTTTTAAACAGGGAAGTATTAAAATTGCAATGCACGTGGATTGTATTATGCTGAGTTTCCATTTTTGGAAATTGAAACTGAGAAGGAGACAGATGGTGATGTGAACAGATAACAAATGGTGAAGGTTTTTTTTTTAGTGAATATATTAGATTAATGTTAAATGGTTACATCTGTTTCTCTGCTGTTTTGTTCAAATATATGTCATCTTCGTAATTTTAAAGGGTAAACAATTTGTCTCAGAATTCTCGAACACATTTTAGTATTACATTAAATTACATGTCATTATGAATAGCTTACTTCATTCTCATCTTCAGTCTTCCTTAATATATGCCTGTATAGATTTCATAGGATAGCTAGTTGTGACATAAGCTGAGGTTGACAATCATCCTATAATAATATTTTACATTTGAAAAATTGTAGCTTTTAAGCAATATAGCTTTTGTAAAAACAGTTTGTAGACATCTTCAAATAACATGAAAAACTATGAATACACTACAGTGACAGTGGCTACATTGCATTGTAAAATTAAGCATGCTTGTTGAATTCAAACTGATGTACCGTGTTTCCTCGAAAATAAGACCCAACCGGAAAATAAGCCTTAGCATGATTTTTCTGGACGCTTTTAATATAAGTCCTACCCCCAAAATAAGCCCCAGTTAAGATCGTCAGACAGACAGACACATTTAGTTCTGTATTTCCTTGAAAATAAGACCTAACTCAGTGATGGCGAACCTTTTAGAGACCGAGTGCCCAAAACTGGTTCCACCCCTGCTACACCCCCTGCCCCGCCCCCGCTTCGCCCCACCCTGCCTGCCCGCAGGGCCACTCACTGCCTCCAGGGCCTGCCACAGATCACCCAGGCAACCCAGCAGCGCCATGGCGGCCACACCCTCTGCCCACGCCCCGCAGCATCAACTGTGCACGTTAGGGCGTGAGGGCAGAGTCTTGTCTACGCTGCCAGGCTGCCATGTCCTTGGCTGTGCTGCTCCGCGTGGGCCACGCTCAGGGGCAACTCTCCTTCAGGGGAGCTGCTGGTGAGGAGGGGGTCGTGGGCAGAGGCAAAGCTGGAGCAACAGCACGTGTGCCCACAGAGAGGGCTCCGAGTGCCGCCTCTGGCACCCGTGCCATAGGTTTGCCACCACTGACCTAACTGGAAAATAAGCCCCAGTGTGTCTTTTGGAGCAAAAATTAATATAAGACCCGGTCTTATTTTCAGGGAAACATATGTATGTTTGCAGCTACATACATATAATAAATACACAATTGTCTCTCAAGATTGACATTTTTGTTGAACATGCAGCTTCTTGTGAAAAAACATTCATAAATAAAATCTGAAAGGATCTGATATATTCCACCAAAATTTCAGAGATGAAAAGTTCGGCTACATGATAAAACTGGCATCCCAGTTTAGCATTACAGACTTAAAAATGGATTCTCATGATCAGTTTTTCCTATCAAAAAATCTTGCAGTTACAGTATCTATTAGTAGTTGTATATCTCCATATATCTGCTAATGGATTCTGTGCTGCTTTGCTATTTTCTTTGCTGTTACGGTTGTTTTGTTGCTTTCGTTCAGTGGATACCAGAAACTTGAACATTAAGAAAGTCAGGAAGTAGTGAGGGATAGGAAAGGATGTGTTTTTTTATTCAGAAAGCAAGAGTGTTTCCCCTAAAGGAATTTCAGTAGATCAACATGTGATTAAAAAAGATTCAGGTAGTCCTCAACTTATGACTACAACTGGGACCAGAATTTCTATTGTTAAGCAAGGCGTTATTAAGTGAGACAGACCTGATTTAATGATCTTTTTGGCAATGGTTGATAAGCGAATCACTGCAGTTGTTAAGTGAATTGTGTGGTTCTTAAATGAATGTAGCTTCTCCTATTGTCAGAAGATGACTGGGAAAGGTTGTAAATGGCAATTAGATGAGCCCAGGATGCTGCAACCGTCGTAAATGCATGCTTGTTGCCAAGTGCCTAAATTTTGATCATGTGACTATAGGGATGCTGTGATGATCATAAGTGCGAGGACTAGTAGTAAATTACTTTTTTTTTTCAGTGCCTTTAAACAGTTGCTAAACAAATTCTTCTAAATTGAGGACTACCTGCACCTTCTCAGGGCTCAGACCACATTCATGATGAATTTTTAGGATTAGAAATGAGAATTCATCACAGAACATGGGCTTGTAGTAGTACTATTATCTCTTGGCATCCCAGCTAATGAGTGGGCTGCCGAGGATCATCATATGCCTTTAACTCTAGCAAAATGGAATAAATGACTGTGCATTT